CCCGAGTGAAGTGAACGGAGAGTCGGGGTGAGGCGCAGAAAGCAATGCGCATGTCTGTCTGTGCTTCTAGCATCCGGCCCACTCTCGTTCACATATTTGACTGAGCGCAACTGGAACTAAGATGGCGAGAAGGACTGGCTACCAGGCACGGGCGTACCCACAGAGAAGGATAACCATTTGCAGTTATTACTGCTAGGAGGTCTTCATAGGGCAATTACCTTGATAACGGGTTAGTGGTTCTTGTTGTAGGACTGTGAACATGCGTCATTGCAGGGTGCCCGGGGGCCGCTGCAGTAATCCTTGGTCTTGACGGTAGTTTGCTCAGCCTATATTCGCGTGTACTTCGTTTGCGGCAGCACAGCGTATCGCTGTGTTTCTCAGCCCCCCCCCCCCACACTGCGTTTTGATACTCTCATTAATGAATAGCTCCTTGTTGGGTATTTCCGGGGCTATCGTACCTTTCGCTGGATATCGCCGAATGGGCACTGTGACATTGGTATCGGATATAATGCGCTGCCAGGGGACATTGTTGTTGAGCACGGTTGCTGTGCGCACTGTGGTCACTCTGCAGTACTGAGGCTCGAAAGGATCATAAGGGACATGCTTTGCTTAGAAGGCAGCCGTCTTAGACTGAGCAGTAGAGTTTTGATCCGGCTAGCGAACGAGGTTGCTGCTGCATATGGTGGTCTCCGCATACGGTGATGAAAGGGTGGTCAGGTTGGCCTTAAGGAGGCGGTATTATAAGAGTGAGAGTGTGGCCAGACCGCGGTAAGGACTAGCGGCGAAGGAAGAGTTATTGCTGCGATTTTTGAGGAGCCGTTAGGGGGATTGTGATCAGCAGTTCGGACTTGGATTTGACCAAGCTGATACCTTGGCCATCATTGCGGAGTATGTGACGATTACTTTTCACGGTCTCACTAGGGTTTCTCACAATAATACGTATATGTGTGATCGCAGGAAACCAAATCCAGAATCTGACTCACAACACATACCTGCAATCACATCAACGAACCAAATCAACAACCCACACATTACACGGAGTCAATCCCAACCACCTTCGACACTCATACCCCTCGCTTTAGCCATACAAGCCCCAAAACCTCCTGTCCAACCAACCTTAATTAAATACTCAGTACCTTTGTTAGATGGCCATTCAATAAAAGTCCGGGTGAAAACCTTAATAAAACAACGAAGATCACCAGGGCTAAAGCCTTTTAGGTTGAGTGTGGAGGAAGAATTGAAATTGAGTCGTAGACCGACGAATCGGCAACCGACCTGTTATCAGTGATAACAGAAAGTGATCCTCAAGAGGATCAAGCTGGATCTAGCCCTGAACTTGAAARAAAGGCMTGTAACACACGGCAGACCAATCCCYAAGCTAAGATCATAAGTGTATGGAGAATACAACTTCATAATTCATTCTTGCTCAAAATCTCYCTAAAAKYTAAACCTAARCCTATTTTTAAGTCAATGCTTAGGCTTAGGGTAAACYAACYGYAGAATCTCCCTTATTTTGGGAGGGTCGCCTGAATCGCCACCTGTCAAAATATAGTCTATCTCCTTTAAACTAAGAAAATTTCGGCAGCACTCCCTCTAAAAAAGTGTTATTCCAAAATTTATACAAGACTAAGTTCAGATTTTGAAAGTAACTTTGGCTTCCCAAAATTCAATTTTGTCTAACCCCCTGAATTAGCAAAACTTTGGGTAGCACTCCGTTTAGAAAATGAGACTTCCCAGATATTAACTAAGCCAGATATATGGAAAGGACAAGTTAAACTTTGACAAGTCAAAAGTTGACTAACTTCTTGGATTTGTAGAAATTTTGGCAGCGCTTCCCGTAGGAAAAGTAGCTTGCCAGATTTATACAAAGCCAAGTATAAGAAAATATTCCAGAAAATGCAGGAATTGACACTAACTCCTATGGCTCTAGCACGTGGCAAGCAACTAAAACAACTACCTATAGAACTGAAATCCAAACGAACCAGTCATCCCATCCAGTCACATGCAAACCAAACCACAATGCAAGTACTCTCATCATCCCAAGTTCATTTCATATAAGTAGCTCGTGAATCTTCAAGTTCTTAAATCCTTATACCCATCTTACATAAGACATAGAGCTGGATCATTCGTCATGGAAACAATGCCCAACTTGTCTTTATGATATACACGAACAGGTTGCACAACTATTTCTTTCTTCTTTTGGGCAGATGACTAGGCCATTCACCATGGAAACAATGTCTAGTCGCCCTGAGCTGTTTAATATCTAAAGTTTTAGTATTTCTCTAACTTTGTTTAAAAAGAAAAGACAAATATGGGCAGGGGACTGAACCATTCACAGTAGAAACAATGTTCGGCTTGCCCCAAACTATTTCCATTTATACTCTGTATTTTCCCTTCTCTCTTTTTAATGATATGGCTTAACGCTGGACCATTCACAGTAGAAACAATGCCCAGCTGCCAGTTCACATGCAAATATACATAAAAATACTTTCCTTTATACTTAGTTTAAATTATATGCATGGTTATCAGGCTAAACCATTTACCATGGAAACAATGCTTAACCTTTGACAAAAAATTCTCCCTCAGAATAAACAAGAATTTAAACATCTTCAATCAGACAAACCCTCAGAGTTAACTAAGGTAGTCAGACCATTCACAGTAGAAACAATGCATGGTTCCTTGAAAAACAATCAAATAAAATACAACGACCAGGCCATTCACAGTAGAAACAATGCCTGGTCCTTCAGAAAACAGCTAAATAAACATAGTCATGAGCCATTCACAGTAGAAACAATGCTCAGGCTTTGGTTGACCCGGTCAAACGCATGCAGTTTACCTTCCTCCCACCTTCCCCCAGTTCATCCTTAGTCTGCTTTCAATCAAAATAAACTGAAACTTATGCTTCACTATCATACATTCTTTCCATTAAATCTGATTAGGTCCTTAAGAGAAAACAAAAACCATAGGGACAATCGCATGCATACAACAATCATACTGCAGGGAGATAGACAAACATGGGTATTAGTGGGTTATATAAGTGGAAGACAAATATACTTGACCGTTCCTTGCCTCCAGAACTCCTCTTGAGTTACGGCAGAGCTCCCGCAATCGGTCTTTGACGCGGACCTACGGGTTGCAATCCCGCGTGCCGCCTTCCCCTCACATCAGGATCAGATTTAGAGAAAGAAAGATAGAAAGAGAAAAGTGTGAGACTCTCAGATCCAAGAATGGTGCTCTCAGTCTCGCAAGAGAGGGCCTTGTAATCTATACATGGGTATACTTGGGATGAATGTTTGCATGGGCTGAAGAGTCCCCATATTAAAGCCCCACTCAGAAACTAGGACTGAGGAACTTAGGGGAGGCCCCTACTTCTATATTTGTTCCTGCTTTTTGATGATTTTCTTAGTCGGACGTTTGGTCCTGGGCCGGGATTCGAGGTCCTTGTCCAGGACACCCCAAACCCTAGGCTCTGCAGGGGAGGGGTTTTCCCTCGCGCAGAGCCTATTTGATTTGCCTACCGAGACACTCAGGCCAAGAGCCGGAGGTATCGCGGCAGCTGCACGGCTATTCCTTCAGCCGTRCAATGTCATGAARGGTTASGCYCTCACGACACTTCAAGTCAGACACTCGAGTGTCATAAGCGGTACTCGATTTCACGAGGGGCCGCTTGATTATGGGCACTACATAGTACGCCATCATTGCGACTGCTTGCGTACAATTGCATTGCGAGTTGATATGCGATAGCCCTGCGTCCGCGCGGTTTTATACATAGTCTCGCGCGCGACGCTTATTCGATTTCCGCGTTGGAAAGTTATGGGTTGGCTACCAAGGGGCTAGGAGCGTTGTCGCGTTGTTTGTGTTGTGTCGTCTCGTATATGTGTTGTTTGTGTGCATGTGTATTCGTAAAGTGGAGTGCGCGTGGTGTGTGGGATTCGTCCTAGTAGAGCGACGACGGGTCGCGATTGGGACCTCAGCCCCCCCAAGATGCCGATTCGCGTGCGGGTTCGATAGAGGCGTATTACCGCGCATACCCCCTATGCTACAGCGAAAGAGAAACGCCCTCGGCTGGTCCACCTCTGCGATTGCAACTGACTAGCTTTCGTACTGTGGGCTGGTATCTCGGCGGGGATACGCCCACCGAAGGGAGGTGACAACTCCCATAAGGTGTAGGTAAGTCGTGCCTCGCGTAGGCCCTATCCTGTCGTAGGGGCTCGCGAGAGGTATGGCTGGCGCACTCGGCCGGAGCGGCTTGT